CTTGACTGGTGTTATGGGGGGCGCGGGGTATGAATGTGGGCGCAGACGGGTTCAGATCAGTCCAGTCCTGACACCAATACATCACATTAACACCAGTTTTACATTTAATCACTGTTTTACTTACCAATGGGCCAAGCTTAAACATGGTCATCCTAGTTATCTGATCGCAAACACCAATCAAATCGAGAATTTATATTGAATACGCTTAAAATGATACTGATACTTTTGTGATGTTTACAAAAGTTTTAAAATCACACTTTCTTTAGGCATTCATTTATAACGTTACAAATGTTGGGGTTTCTCTAAATTGAGTCCAATTTGTTAACCAAACTTTCGTTTTACTTAATCATCATTTATAATACCAAACATTTCTTATAAAATATAAAAATAATAAGCAATTGTTATAAATAATAAATAATTTAAACAAATTTGAGATATGACTGGCAATCATAAGCAAATGAAATACCCTTTTCATGAAACACACACAGTATTTGAAGGGCTCATGAAATGTAAACACAAATGCAATGAACTGTCAAAATGTTTGTGATTTCTATAAAAACTTGATTCAAAACTCATAAATAGTTTGCGTTTTAAAAAATCATAATAAATGAAACGCAAGTGTAGTGTAAGTATTGAACAATTTATTGAACCATGTTCATTTTCAACCATTTATTGATTATATTGTTTGACTTTCAGACCAATCAAATAAGCCATCATTTGATCAATGAATTGAAACTACAATTGTGTTCAATCGGTTCCTCTCAAAAGCCATCCTATTTATGGGAACTAAGTTTCGGTGATTGCGATCATGTCCTCAATGTCTGCCACGAGCTGGACATCCATCTCAACTCACTTAAAGTGATTCAAATCAATGACATGTTATTTATTGCAAACTTTGAGCATTTATTGCAACATTTGACAAACTTATTGAACGACTCATTCATTGCATTCATCGATGTCTCGCCTGATCTCCAGAAACCACAACTTCTTACTCAACAACAGATCCAATCAAAGAAAGCCATTATAAGAGATCTACTGAATCAACTGAACACAGATTCACATGAAA